AACATAAACACGCCCGTTCCTTTCAAATGGAGGATCCGGTTTGTTTCATAGGTACGTTCCCTTCCTGCCGCGGTTGTGATTTTATTTGCCATCTTCACGGCGTGACGGTTTGAAGGTACGGCTCTCGATGGGAAGTTTGCAAGGATAAAGGATTTAGGATAAAGATAACTTTTTTTTTTCTCTCTCTCTCTTGCACAGATTCCCCAAAAGGGCTTCCCTGGAATTTCAAAAAACCCCTGTTTAAATGAATTCTTCTACAAGCATCTTAACATTAGAAACTCTGCAGGAAGAGGTGGGGATGTTAGTAGCTTAGGAGAGGTCAGCCAAAAGCTGACTCATGTTAGCTGCTATTCTGCAGCCTCAGGGTTAAATGTTGGGTCCTTGGTATTTTCTGAGCTTGGTTGTTTTCTTCCAGAAATTTTAATACTCAGCTACTGTAGGTAAGGAGCTGTATTAAAATAGGGAGCAAACCCACTACCACTTTACAACGCCTTGGTAAGGCCACACTTGGAATCCTGCATCCAGTTTTGGTCACCACGATGTAAAAAAGATGTTGAGACTCTAGAAAGAGTGCAGAGAAGAGCAACAAAGATGATTAGGGGACCGGAGGCTAAAGCATATAAGGAAAGGCTGCTGGAATTGGGTATGTCTAGTTTAATGGACGAGGGGGGACAGGATAGCAGTCTTCCAATATCTCAGGGGCTGCCCCAAAGAAGAGGGAGTCAAGCTATTCTCCAAAGCCCCTGAAGGCAGGACAAGAAGCAACGGATGGAAACTAATGAAGGAGAGAAGCAACCTGGAACTAAGGAGAAACTTCCTGACAGTTAGAACAATTAACCAGTGGAACAACCTGCCTCTAGAAGTGGTAAATGCTCCAACACTGGAAGTTTTTAAGAAGAGACTGGACAGCCATTTCTCTGAAATGGTATAGGGTTTCCTGCCTGAGCAGGGGGTTGGACTAGATGACCTCCAAGGTGCCTTCCAACTTTATTATTATTATTATTATTATTATTATTATTATTATTATTATTATTATTATTATTATTATTATTATTATTATTATTAATGATGTTCCCTAGTTGGGTCACGAAACGTCTGCAAGAAAACCATCAATTTTAAAGGACCCCACACTCCTTCTCCTTCTCCTCCTCCTCCTCCTCCTCCTCCTCCTCCTCCTCCTTTCTGCAAACTCCATTCCCTTCTAGCACTGATGATGCTATGTAGTTGGGTCATGCAACATCTGCAAGGAAACCACCCAGCTCAGAGAGTACCAAGGATCCCACAGTCCCCCTCCTCCCCCCACTCCACTCCCTTCTAGCACTGATGATGCTACCTAGTTGGGTCATGAAACATCTGCAAGAAAACCACCAAGCTCAGAGAGCAACAAGGACCCCACGGTTCAACCCCTTTTGGAGAACAGTTTTGAATGCCTCCTGCAATGCAGCCCAGTTAGCTCAATGGTGCAGAAGTGATTTGCGGATGGTGCGACGGACTGAAATCAGCCTGCGTTACACATCATTTCTGAGACACAAGGTTACAACCCTTGGCAAAGGTCCAGCTGGGACGGGCCCAACTTCATAACAACAGCAGCGTGGCTCTTACAATCAGCACTCTGAACTCTCTTCTGGCCAGATGCCAGAGCAGATGTTGACGCGAAACATTGATGCACCGTTCAGCTGCGGGGAGAACGGCTCAAAATATGGAGAGGATTGAAAGATTCATCCTCACACTAGGGAGGTCCGACTATTTAAATCAGCATCTTTGTAAACTCAGAGGCTCTGGTCTGCTATCAGCTGCACTGATGATGTTACCTAGTTTGGCAATGAAATGTTTGCAAGAAAACAACCAGGTTCAGAGACCCCCACACTTCTCCTTCTCCTTCTCCTTCTCCTTCTCCTTCTCCTTCTCCTTCTCCTTCTCCTTCTCCTTCTCCTTCTCCTTCTCCACAAACCCCTAACACTGATGATGCTACCTAGTTTGGTAATGAAATGTTTTCAAGAAAGCCACCAAGCTCAGAGATCACCGAGGACCCCACAGTCCTCCTTCTCCTTCTCCTTCTCCTTCTCCTTCTCCTTCTCCTTCTCCTTTTCCTTCTCTTTCCCCTTCCCCTTCTCCTTCCCCACAAACCCCTAGCACTGATGACGCTACCTAGTTTGGTAACGAAATGTCTGCAAGAAAGCCCCCAACCTCAGAGAGCACCAAGGATCCCACAGTCCATCAGCTTTGGCTTTTCAAAATAGGCCTGGCTAGCTTGCTAAAGGTTTTTCAGTTCTCTCCAACTATTTCTCTACAGAACACCGGGTATTTAATTTTATTTGGGGCAAGGGACGGAGCGATCAGCAGGTGAACGCACCGCCACGTGCCAGTTAAAGCGAGGGGTAGATGATTAGAGGACGCGTGAGACAGCCAAACAGCGGCTGTCCAACTAGGCGTGACGCTTGTTTCAGCGACCTGAAACAAAACAGCATTTCCCAGTTTCACTGTTCAACACTTGGCAGAGAGCGGCTTGAGAGAACGTCTTGCAGTTGGCGGTCTCCTTTCACGGAGTGGAAAACCACACATCCATTCTGGAGAGGGAGGAGATGAGATCACAGGAAGCCGTCCATCGGAGGGGAGATCCTTCCACCCTTCACGTCCACCGGGGGAAGATGTCTCCGAACCTCTCTTGGAAAAGCCTGGAATGTTTTGGAAACTCTTGAGGTTCAGAACCACGGCTGGTCCTCTGGACAGGCGCCAGTCTCAGAGTTTCAGCAGGGCCAAAATTCCAAAATTCCACCGCTACAATTCCAGCAAGATTGTGATGGAAATCAGGGAGCTCTGAGTTCAAATGGCTTCCCAAACTGTTCGTTTGAGATGCTTCAAGCCACTTGTGGCTTCTCTGATTTAGACTACCTTGCAAGGCGGTCTGAGAGTAACAAACAGACTTTTTTTTTTTTAATTTTGGAACCAACATCATAATAATAACTGGGAAGGCTTTAATGAGACGGACAAAATGCCCAATCCAGTCTAAACATCTGGCTGACCCTGCTGTGACCCATCCTAATAATACATCAAATTAGAGAATCTGATCATCATCAGATTCATAGGCTCATCCTGTCGGTGGGGACCTTGGAGGTTTTCAAGTCCAACCCCTTGCCCAAGGCAGGAGACCTCAAGTCATCCTGGACAAATGATTGTCTATCAACAATTTGCTGACTATCAATTACTATCAACCCTAGTGATCCATCAGACCTGCATGGATTACTATGATTATGGCAGCCAGTGTGTGTTCTGGTTTTGCATCTCATCAGCTTAAGCACTTCTTGACCTGGCTGGTATTCAAATTGATGGACTCCAATCCAGTTGAAGCCGGAGTCTGGGAAGTGAAGAAAACTAGCCGGAGAAAAGCAAAAGAGGATGGGGCTTCCAACCACATCTGGACACAGGGCCCTTCATTATCCTAAGACCTGCCTTCTTCCTCTTGTAGGTGCCTATAGGAGAACCCACCTCAATGACTTTGCCCATCTCCCAAGGAATGGTCCAACGGTCCCTTCCTTTTCCTCATTCTGTCCTTCCTTTTTTCTCTTGTCCCACCAACCAGCTGGTCTGATGGAGTTCTTGGGCATGGCAGAAACGGGCAACCACTTGGTTGAACTTCACGGTTCTCCTCAAAGGTCCTACCTATTCTCTAACCTATCACATGACCAGCAGGGTCCTCACTTCCATACGTTTCTCTGAGGAAATGAGAAACATCCATCCAGAATAGGATCTCCTGCCATGGGCAGGGAGGGTTAGACTAGAAAACCTCCAAGGTCCCTTCCAACCCACCCTGGTTGAACTTCATGGTTCTCCTCAAGGCTCCTACTTATTCCCCAACCTATCACACGATCAATAGGGTCTCCCCTTCCATACATTTCTCTGAGGAAACAAGAAACATCAGTCCAGAAGAGGATCTCCTGCCATGAGCAGGGAGGGTTGGACTAGAAGATCTCCAAGGTCCCATCCAGCCTTATGACTGTATGTCTGTGGAGATTCTCAGTCATCCAGGTCACGGTTGTCCCAAAGGTGCTTCCCCCCCCCTCCCAAAGGCAACTGGACTCGCTTTCTTTTTTTTCCCTCTTGAAGGCGTTTCGCTTCTCCACCAAGAACCGAAGAAGAAGCTGGTTGGATGAGAAGCGAAACATCTTGCAGGAAGAAAAAGTCCAGATGCCTTTTGGAAGGAGGGAGGGAGGGAGGGAGAGAGAGAGAGAGAGAGAGAGAGAGAGAGAGAGAGAGAGAGAGAGAGAGAGAGAGAGAGAGAGAGAGAGAGAGAGAGAGAGAGAGAGAGAGAGAGAAAGAAAGAGGAGGAGGACAAAACAAAGAAAGAGAAGGAAGGAAGAAAGGAGAAAGAAAGAAAGAAAAAGTACAAAGAAAGAGAAAGAAGGACAGTAGAAGGAAAGAGAAGGAAGGAAGGAGAGAGAGAGAAAGAAAGAGGACAAAATAGAATGAAAGAGGAAGAAAAGAAGGAAAGAAAGAAAGAAAGACAAAGTAGAAGGAAAGAGAAGGAAGGAAGGAAGAAAGAAAGAGACAAAGTAGAAGGAAAGAGAAGGAAGGAAGGCGGGAATGAGAAAAAGGAAGGAAGGAAAAAAGAAAGAAAGAAAGAAAGACAAAGTAGAAGGAAAGAGAAGGAAGAAAGAAAGAAAGAGACAAAGTAGAAGGAAAGAGAAGGAAGGAAGGTGGGAATGAGAAAAAGGAAGGAAGGAAAAAAGAAAGAAAGAAAGAAAGAAAAGAGAGAGAGGGAGAGGGAGAGAGAGAGAGAGAGAGAGAGAGAGAGAGAGAGAGAGAGAGAGAGAGAGAGGGAGAGAGAGAGAAGCACCTGATTGTAAGTTCCGCGGTCCTCCCTTGCTGCAAGGACAAATTAAAAACCTGACAGCCTCCTCCGAGGCAGCGCGCATCCTCTCCATCCCTGCCAGCTGGGGAAGACCAGAAGCCTCCGCCAGGCCATCTGGGGAGAGGCCCCGAGCCAAGCGGCCGCTCCTTACCTCCTCCTCGGCCGCTGCTTCCTCCGCCAGCTTGGCTCGCATCAAGTACAGGACCGGCAGAGCCAGGACCAGCAGCCCCAGGAAGCTGAGCGCGCAAAGGCAGCGGAGCGCTTGAACCTCGCGCTTCTGACAACCGCGCCCGCACCTGGCGCAGCGGCAGCCGCCGCTGCCTCTCCACGCGCTTCTCGGCTCCGGCAAAGGCATGGTTGGCTTTGGTCCCAGGGGCTCCCGAGCCGGAGGTACCGTACGTGTGTGGCTCTTGGGTTTAAAAAAGCGCCCGGGTATAAATAGGCTGACATTGGCGAAATCGGCCCATCCTCCGGAGAAACCAACTGAGGGGGTGGGAACCACGCCTTTCCCTTCTGCCCGGCCCGGGTTCTCTGCCGCACCTACTCTTGGAAAGTGGCTTTGGAAAGGACGCAGCCGCTGGAGACAGACACACACACACACACACACACACACACACACACACACACACACACAGAGAGAGAGAGAGAGAGAGAGAGAGAGAGAGAGAGACAGAGAGAGAGAGAGAGAGACAGAGAGAGAGAGAGAGGGAGGGAGGGAGGGAGGGAGGGAGGGTGTGCGTGTCTGTGTGATGAAAAAGAAGGGGGGAAAAAAGGGGGAGGAGGCGCTTTCGCGTGTCTTTGCTTGCTGCGACGGGGAAGGGTGGAACTAGCCAAGGAGGAAGCGAAAGCAAAGTCCTCACGACTGATGGAGACGGGAAGGGATGGAAGAGGGAGCCGGAGGTCTGGGTCTCTCTCTCTCTGTGTGTGTGTGTGAGCTGCAGGACCCGAGCCGGACCAGGAAGCGGCGGCAGGACTCGCCTTGCGTTCCCTTTTTTTGGGAAGCGCAATTGCGCCTCTCCGTTGGGTTATAACAAGCCCAAGCTGGGTTCTGTGGCAGAACTTGGGTGGTCTGTGATTCTGGATAAACGGGCATAAGCTGTTAGGTGATCTTCGCCTGCTAAAAGGCATCCCTTTACCCAAAGTCATTTCCTGATGGTGAGAATAAGGAATTAGTGGAACAACTTGCCGGAGGTTTTTAAGAAGCAGTTGGACAGCCAACTCTCCCAGACCCTATCCCATTCCAGACAAATGGCTGTCCAACTGCTTCTTAAAAACCTCCGGTGATGGAGCACCCACAACTTCTGGAGGCAAGTTGTTCCACTAATTCCTTATTCTCACCATCAGGAAATTTCTCCTTAGTTCTAGGTTAGTTTTCTCGTTAATTCTTTTCCATCCATTGTTTCTTGTCTCGCCTGTAGAATAGAATAGAATAAATAGAATAAATAGAATAGAATAGAATAGAATAGAATAGAATAGAATAGAATAGAATAGAAGCTGGAAGGGACCTTGGAGGTCTTCTACTCCAGCCCCCTACTCAAGCAGGAGAACCTATACCATCTCAGACAGGTGATTGTCTAGTCTCTTCTTAAAAATTTCCAGCAATGGAGCGTCTGCGATTTCTGGGGGCAAGCTGTTCCACTGGTTGATTGTTCTCACTGTCAGGAAGTTTTTCCTTAATTCCAGGTTGCTTCTCTCTTTGATCAGTTTCCAACCATTGTTTCTCGTCCTTCCCTCTGGTGCTTTGGTGAACAACCAGGTCCTCTCTGCCTTGTGGCAGCCCCTCAGATACCGGAACGCTGCTATCCTGTCTCCCCTCTTTCTTCTTTTCTTTAGACTAGCCAAACCCAAGTCCCGCAGCCGTTCTTCATATATTTTAGTCTCCAGGCCTTGGATCATCTTAGTTGCTCTTCTCTGAATTTTTTCCAAACTCTCAACATTGTGATAGGGTGACCAAAATTGACTGCAGTATTCCAGGTGTGGCCTTACTAGGGCTTTATAAAGTGGTAATAGTACCTTGATGCTTTGGAAAATAGGTTGACACCCCCCTTCTTTGTAAGAGCCCCTCAAATATTGGAAGACAACTATCATGTCATCCCAAGTTTTTCTTTTCATTAGACTGGACCTAACCAATTCCTGCAACCGTTCTTCAGAGGCCCAGCTAGTCCCTGTGATTTGAGGAGGGTCCCCGGTGTTCTCCGGAACTGGATTCCTTGCTTTGGGGGTGAACCTAGCACCTATGGACCTCACAGGAGTCAAAACCGAAAGAAAGGTGAACCATTTTGCAAATACACCCATGAGGAGTTTTGCTGATGTGGCGAAAGAGCTTCAGGTAGACACTGCTGGCCTCTGTGTGGGATAATAATAATAATAATAATAATAATAATAATAATAATAATACAGTTGGAAGGGACCTTGAAGGTCATCTAGTCCAACCCCCTGCTCAGGCAGGAAACCCTATACCATTTCGGACAAATGGCTGTCCAGTCTCTTCTTAAAAACTTCCAGCGTTGGAGCATTCACCGCTTCTGGAGGCAGGTTGTTCCACTGGTTAATTGTTCTCACTGTCAGGAAGTTTCTCCTTAGTTCTAGGTTGCTCCTCTCCTTGGTTAGTTTCCACCCGTTGCTTCTTGTCCTGCCTTCAGGCGCTTTGGAAATATGGTGCAACTGAGTGATGCTCAGTAAGTTACTCGAACACACATATATCCCTTACCTCCCACTCTTCTGTGACACTGAGTAAGTTACTCGAACACACATATATCCCTTACCTCCCACTCTTCTGCAGGAAGTTCTAGGAATTGCAGTAAAGGGGCGGGGAGCCCTCAAGGTACATGTGGTTCAATAAAACAGATGTTGCTAAAGTCACCCAAATTAAACCCCATTGAGTTTCACGGGGTTTCTCTCTGCATACACAGCATTGGAATAGACCTGACTCTTGTCTCCACTGGCATCAGTAGAGATCTAGATGTATCTGACTGGATCTAAGTAAGATCGCCCAGTGGATTATTGCGTCATGTTCTGTTTCCTTTCAGCCCATTTTCTCTCTCCCAAAAAATCCTATTTACCAAGTTTGTAGGCATCACACTGACCTCTGACTTGTGCTAGCCCGGTCAACTGAATTAGGCCCCACTGGCTGGATTTCTAGAACAGGACATTTCCTAAACCACAAATCGTGGGTCCCACTGTATTATACACTAAGCCATGAACCAGCAAGCAGTGGTTTAGGGGAGACATGATAGCAGTGTTCCAATGTTTCAGTATCTGAGGGGCTGCCACAAGGCAGAGGGGGCCAGGTTGTTCACCAGAGAACCAGAGGGAAGGACGAGAAACAATGGCTGGAAACTAATCAAGGAGAGAAGCAACCTGGAATTAAGGAGAAGCTTCCTGACAGTGAGGACAATTAACCAATGGAACAGCTTGCCACCAGACATTGTGGGTGCTCCATCGCTGGAGATTTTTAAGAAGAGACTAGACAACCACCTGTCTGACATGGTATAGGTTCTTCTGCTTAAGCGGGGGGCTGGACTAGAAGACCTCCAAGGTCCCTTCCAGCTCTATTCTATTCTATTTTTAATGTGATATGAGAAGCCGGTCCTATTTTAGCCTTGAATAATCCCAAGGTAAAACAACAGGCTAATGTTTGCAGGAGGCCTCTATTATCATCAATTGAGTCACATTGTTCTGAACCGTTCTGGATACTTTGTTCTGGATACTTTGGTTTTTTTAATAATAATTTGAATCCTAGACCATTCGTAGCTTTCCCAAATCAATGTTTTAATCAGAAAGACTGCCTTGCGGTTCTGCTGTGTGTGGAAATCCCCTGTTTCCAGCCACTCAACTCAAGAGTTAAATGCAGAAAGCCCAGTTTCTACAGTTTATTTGTGAAAAAACAGCTGTCTGGAGTGCACGTGGGCGATCTCATGCGCTCTTCTTTATCCAGAGAGACTTTGCTTGTTAGAAATTCCTTCTAGCCATTGTTCTCACCAGACTCCCATCTCTACACCCTCAGAAATGTCTTATTCACTAGGAATCCTAACTGGAAGTTGCATTTTTTAGATACTTTCTACTTGACTGTAATACACAAATTTAGCCTTTTTCCAGGCCAAAATATGCAGAATCCAGTGAGGCTTGATTTGTTTCAATTTCCATTTAAATGTGCTAAATTTAGCTGCCCAGATATGCCAGCAAGTGAAGAATTAGCGGTTGGATTTGACCAAGGAAAGAGACCAACAGCTCCATTTGTTAGAGTTGGGAGAAATATTTGGACACTATGAGCTTGGGGGTTATAACCACTCTTAAAAAAAAACAACTACTGATCAGGAAGCAAAGCAGGTTTTTTTTTCTATCAACATCTGCCCATCAAGTGGTTTAATTTGTACAACATACTACATTAAGTGGAGTTGTCTGTTTCATAGTCTTGGGGCTTTAGCCTATGAAAGCATAATATGGTGAGATTTTGCATGATGAAATACTATTACATCACCAGAGTGGGGAGGTAAGGAATGTTGTGAGTCCTCTCTCCTAAGGAGTAACATCTGGCGGGACCCAGAAGAAGGATCTCCTCTGTGGTGGCTCCCTTCCTTTGGAACATCACCCCTGTAGAGATTAGATGACCCCCACTTTGACAGAATAAAAAAAGTTGGAAGGGACCTTGGAGATCTTCTAGTCCAACCCCCTGCTCAGGCAGGAAACCCTATACCATTTCTGACAATTGGCTGTCCGGTCTCTTCTTAAATACCTTCAGTGTTGGAGCACCCACAACTTCTGGAGGCAAGTCGTTCCACTGGTTAATTGTTCTCACTGTCAGGCTGTTTCTTCTTAGTTCTAGGTTGCTTTTCTCCTTGATTCGTTTCCATCCGTTGCTGCTGGTCCAGGTGCTTTAGACAACAGGTTGACTCCCTCTTCTTTGTAGCAGCCCCTCAAATATTGGAACGCCGCTATCATGTCACCCTTAGTCCTTCTTTTCATTAAACAAGACATACCCAACTTGACACTCTTGCACAAAGGCCTGTTTTTGCCAATGGGCCTGGGGAACCCAAAGCGAGATACAGCCCATCAGGTGGCCTGTTTGATTG